AGTTGGAGGGGAGCTGTTGCATTGTGGTAAACTGTGGTCAATGACATGAGACAAAGTATATGTGAACTGCTGTATCGAGAGTGAATTTGCTCTGTAAATCTTCACCCAAATCACAATAAAAAAAAAAAATTGTGTATAAACTTAAAAAACCCTGTGCAATCGAGTTGATTCCAACTCATAGTGACCCCTGTTGGGTTTCCAAGGCTGTAAATCTTTAGGGAAGTAGATTCCCTTATCTACTCATATGCTTGTTGTTGTTGTTGTTGTTATGTGCCATCGAGTCAGACCTGACTCAGCGACCCCTCCTTGGGTTTCTGAGGCAGTATCACTACAGAAGTAGATTGCCCATCTTCCTTCTGAGGAGTGGCTGGTGGGTTTGAACTGCCAAGCTTCTGGTTAGCAGTCAAGTGCCTTAGGCACTACGCTACCAGAGCTCCCAGAATAGTATATAGCCATTAAAATTCTGAAGATTGATAGAAACATGGAAAGTAGAGTAAAAACAGCACCATCAAAAATTGTGTATAAACTTGAAAAAAAATCCTGTGCAATTGAGTTGATTCCAACTCATAGTGACCCCTGTTGGGTTTCCAAGGCTGTAAATCTTTATGGAAGTAGATTCCCTTATCTACTCATATGCTTACTTGTCACTAATTGCCTATCTCATTATCTGACAGTTCATTTTTATGACAACTTTGAAAAATTCTCATGTTGTGCCTCTGATGGTTTGAGCCCCATGCAGAGATGTACCAGGCCAAGGCACCTTCAGTGGGCTTCCTTGAATGATATACCGGAGGACCCAGTGATGACAGGGAGACACGTGGGACAGTGGCTCATTGGCCACGAGACACTTTCTCCCATTTATCTGTAACATCGCAATCTGGCTACAGAGGGCACAGGGTGACAGTGGGACAACATGAGGTCACAGGCAGGTAGAAGGAGGCAGGGCAAGGGCCTGAAAGTGCCAGGGAGGTTGGTGGGGGGGAGGCGAGAAGAGGAGGAGAGGGAAGGGGGCTGCATGGGGCTGGGACAGATGAAGAAGGTCCACACCCTGGGCAGGCAGAGGATGAGTGGATTCACTGTCCAGGGTGAGTGGTGGGAGATGGCATCTGGTGGGCAACATTCAACCACCACCATGACCACCCCAATACCTGTGGACTTTTCACGGTGGTGGGGAAGGCATGGTGGTGAGGGAGCGGGCACTACACGACATGCATTTCAACTTGTACTGAAGGTGCCCAACAGGCTGGGAAGATGGATACAATAATAACAAAGACAGAGCACACCCCTGATTCTTGCATAATGCTTGTTTCGCGTAACAACCTGGTCTTTGGAACCTAACCATATAGATAAGTGGGTGTGCATTATTTTTCAGTTTTATAAACATGTCTTTATAAATTATGACTAAAAGACTGTTGTAAATGAAGAGTAATTCAGCAAATGTTCAACTTCTGTCTTATATCAAGGGCTGGAAATAGAGCGATGTTGACATGGTCTCTGCTCTCAAGAGACTTGGTTAGCAGGAGACAGACCCTGGGTAATAAATGCAATGATAGAGAAGGTGCATTAGGAGTTTGGGTGCTTTTGGGGAGCTCTGGTGGCATAGCACCTAAGGCATTTGACTGCTAACCAGAAGGCTGGCGGTTCAAACCCACCAGCCACTCTTTGGAAGGAAGGTTGGGGAATCTACTTCCATAATGATACCACCTCGGAAACCCAAGGAGGGATCGCTATGAGTTGGATCTGACTCAACGGCAGTGAGTTTGGGTTTCTTTGTTGTTGTTATTAAAATTTGTTAAATACTGCTACCTCGTCTTCAAAATATTTTACAAAGATGACTCTGAGTATCAGTAGTAATGTAACCTAGTGTAATGCTTGTCAAAGGTGGTGCCTGGGTGGTGCAAATGGTTAGCTGTTTGAACTTATCCAGCAGCTCTACAGAAGTAAGGCTTGGCATACTACTTCCATTAAGAGTACAGCCAAGAGAAAACCCTACGGAGCTGTTACACTCTGTAGCACATTGGTGGCAGGGAGGAAGCACAACTCCACAGCAGCTAGTAACATTAACACCAACAGTTCAATTAATATTGGCTTAATGAATGAATAAACAGAATGGCCCATGAGTTGTCATTCATTTTCTGCTTTCCCAGCATGGTTGTAGTGCTATTTCCTACCATACTTACAATTTAATGACAGCGTTCCAGAGTTTACTTAATCAGAAATCTCTTCTACCTGCCATTAGAAACCCCTTAAAAATCATTTTCCACAACTTATTCAGATACTTGGTTCTCCAAATATCTTGTTTGTTCATTGGATTTAAAAATTGTGCTTTTTGGATGATCTAGTTTTACAAACCATACATTTTTAGGCTTACTCTTGCTGGCTGACTAGTAAGCAGTTCTAACCTTGATATCCCATTGAAATATTTCCTTTTTGTTTCTTAAACCCATTGTCATTGAGTCGATTCTGACTCATAGCGACCTGATAGACCAGGGTTGCCAAGGCTGTATAATCTTTATCGAAGCAGATTGCTGTAACTTTCTTCTGCGGAGTGCCTGTTGGGTTCAAACTGCTGAACTTTTGGTTAACAT